CAGAGTGATTAATTCATAAATTAGTCCATTTATCAGCATTAGATCTTAATTAGCGTGTTCCATCACGCTGTGCTGCATCCCTCGATTCATAATGTCCTGGGATATTGGGGTCATTTGACTTGCTCAGTTAATTCCAGCAGGATTATTCGCAGTGTGAAGAGATAACAAAGACTATGAGTCTTCAAACTTGATCTGTATAAATAATCTTAATTGTAGGGTTTACTTTGACAAATATAAACTAATTCTGAACTTGTGTTTTTCTTTTCTCACCTCATTGAACTCTTTAGTTAGAGAACTGATGATCTCAGCATTCTGCATGCTGTCAAGCATCTCTCTACTAACCACACCTGGACAAAATGATGAAAGGTTAACACACTGTGAAATCCAAAGGATTTATACATAAGCGTGCTGCTACAATAATATCTGTTATTCTACTTGTATTTACATGGTTTGATCTTCTTCGCATTTTAATTCCACCCACATAGAATATTGATATACTGTGTTGTCAATAGACAGAGAGGTGGCACAGCTCCTCAACACTGCATCTTTAGCATACCGGAGGATCAATAGTAGACTGCTGATCATTGCCTGAGTTGAAATTGGAAAGATAATCTGTTGAACTCTGACCCACACCCCCCACTTCCCAGCTACTGGTTTCCCTCTTGACCTCTGACCTTTGCATCCGCAGGACCGAACAATGAAGTTGATGAGCACCAGCAGCCCCACCTCTCGGCTTTGCTTGTAGCTGTCCAGCCACTCGTCCACCACCGTCTTAAGATTGACAAGGACACAACAGACGATGACAACGCTTCACTCAGATCAAACAGCAGCCGGCTTTAATAACAATAAGTCATTTGAATAATATTATGGAGTTCAGAAATAACATTTCTATCATAAGTCTTTTATATTTTATTTTTTAACGTGTGTATTTGTGTGTTCCCCATCCTTGTCTTGCCCGTATATTTTCTGGCCCTCATGTTTTAATCACCTACGCTTTTGCATAATCAGTTTGTCAACCGTAGCTCCATTATAAATACAAAGACTCCTTCAGAGCATCTGTCGTGTTTTTAATAATGGTGTTGATTAGAAATGCAGTAAATGCAATATAAAAGAAGTACTGAGTGAAATATAGTCAAAAACCATGAAACCTTTGTGAAGCAGATTAAATTTGCTGGATGTGCTGTTTGAGAATAGGTCTTGAGCCAGAATCACCACTTGCATGTGATGCTGCTCTACACTCTTTTTTAGATTATTTTTAATGACTGATCACCACACTTGTCTTTCTTTTGTTGTATGGGTTCACTTTTCTAGTCATTACCCCGAAGAGGCTGGGGCAAAGGACAACAATAGTTGGGATGGACACTTGCCGTCAATCATTGACTACACTACCCAATGGGAGGACTCCTTCCTCTTTGCGTATCAAAGGCAATTCTATAGGGTCACATCAGTCAGCCGCTGACAGCACATGATAATCTCTCTCACCGTCAGCTCTACAGAGGCTTGTGTCTCCTTTCACTACAACTACCTCAGTCCTTTGATGCATTTATCTCTACAAACCATTTCCCCTTCCCTTCATGCTTAGCTGAGGGCTCGCTCACCACCATAGCACTCTTTCCCAAGCAGACTGCATCGTATATATCCTTTGCACTGATGCCCTGGTTTCTCTCATTCACTCCTCTCGCAAGTCTGGGAGAGACCTGCCTGGATGACCCACGGGAGTTCTGCTGCTGCTGCTGCAGGGAGGGGTCCACAGGAGCAGGGATGGGTCTATTATGGGGGCTGGACGTCACCCTCAATGCAGCTTTACGCCTTGGTCTCTTGGGTGGCTTGAGATGAAAGAGACATGAAGGGGCAGCTCAGCATGAGATTTAGAGTGAAATGATGCAATGAACTGAATTAGTGGTAAATAAAGCATGATATGGTGTCGGCTTCAAACCTTGACCTCAGTGTTGCATGATGCCAGTTAAGCCTTCTTTATCGTTTGCAAGAACTGAGAGATGGTAGACAAAATATTAACCTACTCTGATCTACTTCCTGGTGATTAATCTAAAGCCATTTTCAGACATGAAAGAATTGGCTACGGAGTTTACCCGCACTTTGCCTTTCAAACATGCACAACGCAGCAAGATGTTTTCTGCACATACGTGTTCACAACAGCAACAAATCCTCCACATTATTCAGATGAGAGGTGGAGCAGCCGAGGACAGCAGGCCGGTCAGGCGGAGAAAGTCCGCAGAAACCGCGGGTACTCTCACTCAGACATTTAATTCATACATGCAAACGCAAATATGGAGTATCTGATGAGTTCAGTGCATGTCTGAAAGCATCTTAAGTGTGAACCTTTTAAATAAGCATTTCATATTTTGATGGCTAATAAAAATACTTCACCTGAGGTCCAGGAACTGCATGTTTTCTCCGCTTGGTGGTTTTTATTGTGGCCTCATAATCACTGCCAGAGTCTGAGAAATCCTCCAGCTTCTCAAGACTAATAGACAAGGAAGAACAATAAATCAAGACAAATCCCAGCATCAACAATTCTAAAAGGGTTGCTCAGGAATTCCCTCAAATTAATACAAGGTATATAGACCACATAGCGCTTATTAACAGCACCAAGACTACACTGTAGAGTGATTTATTTATTTTATTATCATTCCCAGGTGCAATATTTATTACATTTTATCTCAAATTCATAATTTGAATTCCTTGTGTGTACATATTTATATAAACTTAATTTGTGCATTTTAACAATTAGGCATTTACATGCCTGCTCCTCACAAAATGTCAGTGTACTGTCTGTAATATAAAGATCTCTTGCAGCTTGTCCCATTGAGAAAGTCTTCATTTCCATTCTGATGGTAACTTGGGTATCAATTAGCAACACCCTTAGTTTTGCTGGCTAGTTACACCTGCTACAGATACACATGCTGCCAAGTCTGTGTCAGTACACTGTATTTACATTGACGGAGATATTCAGGCTTTGTCTAATTTACAAAACTCTTTGTTGAATCTTAGAGAATAAAACATTTAAAAGTTTGCTTCATTTGTCCAGTTTTTAATCTGCTTTAAGACACAGACTCATCTAAATATGTTCAATAACTGTGCATTGGTGTTTGACTTTGAGAAGAGTCAGGAGAGATGGGCTACAACATTCAGATGGCACCGAAAACGATTAGCTTCACTTAGCTTAGCTGAACTGAACTTGGCTTAACTTTACCTGTCACACTCTGACTCTCCAGCTGCCATTTGCGGTGACACACGCTCCAGGTATTATGAGAAGACTCCGACTTGCTGGTTAGCTGTTGTTTGCTAACACTGCTACAGCAGAGAGAGGGCACAGACTCAATGTTAGCTACACTCAATGTTAGCTAAAGTTAATGTTGGCTAAAGTTAATGTTAGCTAAAGTTAATGTTGGCTAAAGTTAACGTTAGCTACACTCAATGTTAGCTAGACTCGATGTTAGCTAGACTCGATGTTAGCTAGACTCGATGTTAGCTTGACTCGATGTTAGCTTGACTCGATGTTAGCCTCTGCACCAACGCTAGCTAGCACCTCAGCTAAAAGCTAGCATTAGCTTGTTACAGACACAGTTTACAGTACTTCAGACAGAGTCCAGACATCTTCTACCGACAAATGGATCAATAACAACTATCAGCAAAGTAAATATAATTATTACCGTGGACCAGTAACCGATCGGGACGTTTCTCTCCACACTTTGTTGGTTTAAGGGGATTTTTCCATCTCCATGTCACCGTCCGGTCAGAACCGAGGGCGCGCAAAAGTTCGCTCTGTGATTCTCTGGACGCTGATTGGCCGGCGGCTCCTCGGCTCAGAAGGTGATTGGTCATTTCAGCGGGGTCACTTGATTGCCATTGGTTACTCCCAGTACACCGTCACTGATTGGATTCTTATAAAGTCCCTGTTGGATATGAGCCTATAGGAGAGAAATACTTATGTAGATGAACGTTCACTAGTACTTGTCCTCTGTAAATGCACGTTTGCAGTAATAAATATATTATTGTAAGCTGTAGAAGGTTTTAAGTCTGTGTACATAAGTTTATTTTATTCATCGACAAAACAAAAGTGCTTAAATGCAAACACAAAATCTTAAACCTTGAATTAAAAGGAGCAGCAAGTAAAATAATTGTATACAATGTGCACCTCTTTCACAAGACATTAATTAACAAATAATTCAATCAAATTAAAATAGCTGCAGGCCTCAGCCCCTCACATCTATTAGTTCCTAGGTTACAATTCATTTTATGGTGTGTGTGTGTGTGTGTGTGTTTGACCCGGAGGTTTGTCTCAGCTGCTGTCCCCCCCACCACCACAGGCTCCTCACCCCTCTCTCCCCTGTTGGTCCATTGTTCTGTGTTTGATGGGTTATTATGACCACAGTCAAACCTGCAGAGGTGAAACACACCACTTCTGGTCAGGTCCTTCAAAATAAAACGTTGCCCACGCTTCACAGTGTTTGTCAAGTCTTTGTGACTGCTCTATGTCTCTTTGTTGTTGATTTGAATCTTTTATGTGGTCGTCTGACTGACTCACCAACAAGAAACGTTAACCGTCACTAACCACAGATGCTCCCATGCACCCCTTGGACCCCGAGGCCTGTGCACAATAGGCCAGTGCTGTGATTCATCCATGTGCAGGGGCGAAACACATTGGGCCCTCAATGGGATTAGTCCTGAATATAGTTGTATGGATAAGTCTCTAATTTTATATAGTTCCTGTATTACAATGACACCTAATCCATCCATCCATTATCTATACTGCTTATCCTTTGAGGGGGAGCTGTAGATGACAATGAGGCAAACTACAAAAATCTTATTTAGACCTAAGAGAACTGTATATTGTGCTTAGTGTCAGCAAGCAGCCCATTGTGAATATGTATATATATATATATATATATATATTTACATTTTGTATTTATGAGTAAGCTAGTCTGTTTTCATGTTGAATCTTTTATTTCTGTGCCATTGGAGAGCTAGGAAAGTAAAAATGTAATTGTACGGTACGACGCCTGTTTTTAATCACACATATGACAATAAAGAATCTTGAAAATTGAATCTTAAAACATTCTCGTAACAGCCCCATCTTCTCTGTCACTATCTTTAAAAAATGGTAACTCATCTCACCAAAGCAATTATTATAGTCAGTTACGCTGTTGAACTGTGATGGGTTATTCATTGTGTAAGTACACTGGGCACAATGACACCGGAGCCAAAATACTAGTATGTTGTACTCATACATGGCACATAATGCTGATTCTGATGTCTCAATGGGCAATGAACACAATGGCTTGGACTCTGTATTAGACTGCAGCTAACTGCACCTTATTAAATGCTCATTTTCAAAACAGTAATTTGTGTATTTCTACATCTTGTCTGCCCCTTTATGGCTTTGTTGACACATGGGGACCTTTATTTTGAAAAGCCTCGGTGTTCCGGCACAGTGGTGCTGTGGGAGGACACTGAGGATCGGGAGTGTCCCGTTCACACGCTCCAGCAGCGGATCACAGGAGGAAACTTTGTCTGGATGCGTCTTTTTGTTTTACTTATCTGGGGAAAACTGATTTTAAAGACTGATCCGGGACATTGTTCCTGTTTTGACTTTTCATCTGAACCGGCCACTCACTCACTCACTCATTCATTCATTCATTCATCCCTGCACCCATAGTCTGTTTTAAAATCACCCCCCTCTGGTGTGTGTTTCGAGCCCCCTGGAGAAGATGGACCCCCGGCTCTCTGTCCCCAGGTACCCGCTGCTGGTGCTGCTCTGCGCGGCCGCTGCCCTCTCGGGGACCCGGAGCCCCGTGGCTGCAGCGGGGAGGAGCTGCGCAGACACCCGGCAGGTGTACGCGGAGAAGGGCTACGGCACGGACATCGCTCCGCTGACTCAAATCTCCGGTAAGACACTGAAATAACCTGCGAGTGAGGACAAATCACACAAGAGAGTTATTCCCAGAGTCAAATGTTGTCCTACACGAGCCTTATACGAGTTTATATTGAAATTAAAATAAGATACACGTAGAGATGTGGGTGCAACCTGGATTAAATTTTCATTATGCACATTCAGGTCACCACAGATAATCAGCCCGGCACCAGACATCAGTCTGAGAACATTATATCCATGTTCTAACAAATGTATAAACGAAATACACACAACAAATCACCACGAGAAACTAATCTGATAAAGTACAATGTGGCTTCAAACTCACTAATAAGCACCAGACACACACACACACACTGCAGAGGCATCATGGTGAGATTTCCTCCAGAGGACTGACGCTGGGTGGTTTAAAACAAATTACAGCCGCCCCCTCCTCCTCTCTGTGCGCTTTAAATAGGATGATTATGGGGATGAGCAAATTGCCAACACCGGTGCAACAAAGAACCTCGCCCCTAATTAGTCTTCTGCCTACTGGCCCACTGTTAAATCCCCTGAATATATTTATATATATATATATATATATTTATATATACAGCCTGTGGGTTTATGTGTTTAATCTCATCTGCCAAATGAAAAGGTGTCACAAACAGTTTGGGAAAAGTGACGTGTTTGGTGATGGGATGAAGAGGACAGAGGAGGCTGCATGAGCCCACATTTGTTAAAATATGAATGTGTGTGTGACAAACATGCACCAACTTTATGTCAATTCAGCTGTTTGTGTGTATGTCTGTGAGTGTGAGTGACTGAGAAAACTGCAATATTGATTGATTGTGTGTGTGTGWGAKWGWGWGTGTGTGTGTGTGTGTGTGTCTTATCACTGCCTAAGTCTTGGCTCACCGTCCCGTGGGCCAGGGGAGCAGATGGCTGGGAGAGCAGAGGATGAGGAGAGGCAGTTTAGAAATGGAAATAGAGGGATGAGAGAGGGGTAATGGTGAGACACACAGAGAGAACAAAAGAGGCAGAGAGAGGAACATCAGCGTGGGTGGAGTTGGGATTGAGACTTTCAACTGTATTAATTACAGTTATATTCTTTTTCGGCTGTGAAATGACAGAAACCAAAACCAGTCGTTTGAATGCTGCGTGTTATTTACTCCCCTCCTGCTTGTCGTTTGCATATCATTACCTCTGACGTATCAAAGACTCAACCTGAGCGGACAAAGAGAGACAGATTGAAAGTGAATAATTCATGTAAGGAAATTACAAAATTTCTATCCCAAGCTTATCTTTGACAAGATTTCCCCACGGTGACGAAACTGATAAGTGGAGGAATTGACTCTTTTACTAAAAACCTCTGGTAATAGAGCGTCTGACGTTATATTTGAAGTATTTATAATGACTTTATTCTAAGAAAAGAAGCCCACAGGGCTTTATATGATCCCAGTTTACGATTTTACATTTTTTTATAATAAAACCAAAAATAATCTAATTTATCCACATAACTTTCAAGGCCTGTGATCGGACCTGATCTCTCACCTGTCCTGGTTTTCCTCCCCAGGTGAGCACCTGCGTCTCTGTCCTCAGGACTACACCTGCTGCTCCAGTCAGATGGAGGAGACGCTGGCCCTCCAGAGTGAGAGAGACTTCCTGAAAGCCATCGAAGAGAACAGCCAGTTCCTGTTGACCACCTTCAGCCAGAGACACCGCAGATTTGACGGTGAGAGACTCGTACAGATATTAATCATGTCGACACCTCAAAGCCATAGTTTGCACCTTTGATGGATAAAATGCGGTCGGCTCGTTTTCATCTCTGCCTCCCTTATCTGTCAAGTTAGCAGCAATGATTGGCAGCTGATAAAAACATCTGTACGATCTCTGACTGTGCCGTTCCTCTCAAACAGTGAGATGTCTGTGCCTGCTAAAGATCCTGGTATGACTCATGTTGAATGTGGGAGAAGTGCTGACATTCAAGGCTTTGACAGCTCCTGCAAATTTATAAAGTTATTAGACTCGCAAACGCAGATTATACAAAAATAAAGGACACAAATGCAACAGAGGCCGAAATATCTTGACAATGAATCCCTTAAGCTTCAGAAACACTAGATCTTACATTTCCCACAATGCAACTCAGTGGTGTCTTTAATTGCAACCTAAATGTCCATATTTTTCAGGGGGGTTTCACACTTACATTGTTGGTCTGGACCTGGACATTTCAGTTTAGTCCGAACAAAAAAAAAAACCCAGTGTGAAAGTTGCCTCGGGGCCCTGGTCTGGACTGATGGACCGACACTGACCAAAAGAAGAGCTCTCGGTCTACATCAAACTAAACTAAAGGAAGTTGAGACAGCATTTGGCGGTAGAAGGAGAAAAACGCGGCTCACAGGATTGTTTTAAGTCTTTGCCTCCGATGATCTAATGCTTGAACAATGATGGTGTTCATTTTGCTGGTAGTAAAACCATTAAGATTTTACAGTGGCAACATATTTTCTCCTTTCAAATGGAAAGACTACTACCTGCCATATTCACATCACCATCAGACACACGCCGTCTAATTAAGGTGAAGACAAAGGATATACAAGTCATACAAAAGTCTGAATTACAATGCAAACATTGCAACAAAGACATGAACCTTGTTTTAAACTTTCAGTGAAAACGTCCTCAAACTCCAGATCTCTGGTTCGTATCACGCGATGTCTCAGACCTGAGATAACCCCGATGACATCACTATGACATCATCAGGGTGTAAGCTCCCTGCAGAGCTGCAGTACACACTGTGTGAATCAGTTTTCACAGTAGGTAGTAAGTCTGTGTTCAGCGAACTAGCCTTCACGTGTAAAATTGGTGAAGTGCCCCTTTACACAAAAGGTCAGTGTAGAGAACCTTCATCTTTAATGACTGTCAGTATTTTAGAGAACTCAATCCACATCCTCGCAGCCACAGCTCAGAGCTGAAGTTCCACTTTCTCCTCCTACCTGCTGTGGTTCTGACCTTTTTTTTCCTCCTCAGCCTTTTATATAATATACGTGATGAATCATTTAAAAATGCCGGAGGAGTGGGAGACTGGATATGAGTCTTAAAGATGGATTTTAAATAAAAGTACATGTTGTTACACTCATTTATCAGTGAGCACGATCTGATGTCCCTGTGAATCCGGGAGGGGGGGGGGGGGGGTGGTGACTGAGCGCCTACATAGAAACCTGGCAAGGATATGAGAAGAAGAGAAGGTGGGTGACACATTGGTTTAATATAATCTGCTCTTTCTGCCTCACTGCAGAGTTCTTCAGGGAGATCATCGACCTGTCGGAGAAGTCTGTGAACCAGATGTTCACCAAGACCTACGGCCGGCTCTTCACCCAAAATGCCCACGTCTTCCAGGAGCTGTTTGTGGAGCTGCGCAGATATTATTCTGGTTAGTTCAGCGACGTGATCCACCTCATGAACACACAGAACATAAATACATGAACTCAAATTGTGATTTCATGTATTTAGATGGTCTGATGGTCTTTGCAATGTTGTTGCAGTTTAGTTGATCCTCCATACAAATCAATACAATAAGGGGCCCCCTGGTGTTTTAGTGCTCAGAGATGCACACTGTGTAATTGCAATGTCCATGATTCCAGCTGGGGACCTTATTTTTGCATATCTTCTCATCCCGTATGTTTTGTCAGGCTCCACTCGAAGCAAAATGCCAAGAACAGTCTGAACTAGAAAGGCACTCATTAGAGCACACAACCACCGCCACGGCCCGGCAGTCACCTTAAATTCAACCATGCTTCACCAAATTCCACACACTCGTAGATATCGGTCCCCTAAATATACCTGAGGTGAAGCTTTTATTCACTTTCATCGTTGCACCAGCAGTCTACTGGGGTTTTATTAGTCCATGCTCATGTTGTGGTGAATCCACAGCACTATGGAGGCAGCATTGTTCTTTGACGAGCACGGAGATGCCAAGAAGAACTGGAGAAAACGTAACGAAATCCCACGGATGCCAGAATGTTTCTATTTCTGTTCTGAATGGCTCTGTTTTGGCATGACAGCCGCTCGCTGGCGAGTCTGTCTGCAGGCTGTCGCTGCTTAGTCAACCTGTCTTTGTCTGCCAAACAGCACGGATGGCTAATTTGAGGCTGTATAGTAGACTTCAGATTGGAGAGTCGAACCGGTCTGCCAGTTGTCAAATCACCCCAAGCAAACAAAATAATGCAGCACACAAAATATATCATGTGTTATTATTAACATGTCATTGTGTTGTGTTTAACAGACTATAGAATCAAAGAAGCAGAACAGTTTTTGTGCTGGTGACTTCTGTTTTGTTTGAGAACAGTGTTTTGCACCATGTTACAGATACAGAATGAATTCACCCAGCAGCTTAACTTGTACCATGTGTGTGACCAACACTGGAAAACCAAAGTCAATTCAATTTGTCTCATGACCAATGAGGTGATGTTTTCTTTTGGTTTGTCTGGGACAACATTGTCAAAGGCCAAGCAAGAACCTGTTGTTCACTTAATTTATGGTAACATGGTATTCTTGTCAACTATATCACAGAATGGATATTTCATTCAAACAGTTTGCAGAACATAGTGTGCAGTGGTTTACCTGATCTGAATACATGTGTATGTGATATGGTGATAACGTGGCCAATCAGCCTTGCTGGAGGTATTCTCTGATATCTCTGTTTTCTTTCTTGAAGGACTGTGATATTGCATGCACACACTGCAGCCATCAAGCAGGAGGTATAGGATACGCACATAACCTGAGCACTATAATACTGTTTGTGATTATTTATTTAATAATTCATGCTTTTTACGTCTTTTTCTTAATTTCCTAAGAAATGAGTAACTGCTGGCCACAATGTGTTTGTATTTTTCAGCGGTGACTTTGACTGTTTAGTTTGGTTTGCTCTAACCCTTTCATCGAGCCCTCTGGGCAACATCGTAGCACACTACACAAGGATATGGTGGTTTAGATGAATATTCACTCCTGTGGAAAACATTCTGTACATCTAGTTTGCTGAAATTCCCCCAAATACAATTCTTTCTTTCAGAAATCCCTGAAATCCAGATTACAGATATTGTTTTCTATCAATCGCTCATTTTAGCTCCTTTGTCCACAGGGGGCAGTGTCAGTCTGACCGAGGTTCTGTCAGACTTCTGGTCCAGACTTGTGGAGCGGGTCTTCTCTCTGGTCAACCCTCAGTATCAGTTCAGCGAGGACTACCTGGAGTGTGTCAGCAAACACACAGAACAGCTGCAGCCGTTTGGAGACGTGCCCCGCAAACTGCGCGTACAAGTGTGTGGCTCGTGATGGACACCTTCAGAAAACACGTGGTTGTGATTCAGTATAACTGTGCAGATTGTTGAGCTGAGACTGATTTCATTCTGTTTCCTTTGGTTTCACATTCAGGTGTCCAGGGCTTTCATTGCAGCCAGAGCACTGTCTCAGGGCCTGGCTACAGGTCGGGATATTGTTAACAAAGCAACAAAGGTGATTCTTATTGGTTGCTGGAGATGTTGTTGGTATCTGTGTGTAGTACACTTCAAGTTGTCCTGAATAAAAAATAATACGATAAAAAAATCATAATAATACACTTAAGTTACGCTACAAAGTACTTAACAAGAAGAAATAATAAAAGAAATTTAAATAGTTTAAATGTAAAACAATCCTTGATCAATTGGGGCCAAATAAATAAATAAAATAAAACAATATATTATAGTTAAAATTATCAAATAAAATAGGGGTCTCAAGAATATCATTGTAAAAATAACGATGTTATAAGGTAACTTGAAAAATATAGAAAGTAAAATCAGGCCACAAGTAAAAATATATGTTGCACTACAGAAGACTTTCTCTTTGTGTGAATATTTTTCCTGCATTTCATTCTGGAGCTGCTGACATGCGTTCCCTCATGTAGTGATGTTCCTGATAACATTGTGCTTTGTTTTTCAGTTGACAGCAGACTCAGAGTGTGTGCGTGGCCTGATGCGTCAGTGGTACTGCCCTCTGTGTCGAGGCCTGCCCTCCCTGCGGCCCTGCCACTCCCTGTGCCTTAACGTGATGAAGGGCTGCTTAGCCAATCAGGCCGACCTCGACACCGAGTGGAACAATTTCATTGGTGGGTTTGGGCAGACTGAGCAATATATCACAGTATGTTTTTAAATTGGTTTCGGGTCATTGTGTATTTTTGGATTAGGGATTTATTATTCACCTTTGGTTTCAATTATTTTAGATTCTTCAGAAAAAAAAGATGTTAAGACCCAAATGAAACTTAATTATTATCAATAAACGGAGCAGACGTGAAAGTAGAATCCTTTTATTGCTCCTCTGTCACTCATTCACTTTCCACTTCCTATTCCCCTAATGAATTCCTCCTCCATTAATCATTCATGCTTCTCTGCTCCTTCTCAATTGATCTGTCTTCCTGTGTTTCCTTTCCCCTTTCATCAAACCCACACATTCCCTGCATTTTCTTTCTTTTCATGTGGAGTGCCTCCTCTCACCTTTCATCGCTCCATCTACGTCTGCTGCACCCAAACCCATTTCACCCCCATACACCCTTTTCTTCAACCTCCATTCATTTCCCTTTTTTTTGCTTCTTAAACAGCTCAAACAGATGTAAATCAAATCTCTTCAGCTGGTTGAGCCCCTGAGAGACACCAGGAAGTGTTGTCTGGATGTTTATCAGGACAATATGCCACCAACAGAGCTTTTCTTTTCAGCCCTGAGAATATGAGCGAATGTGGACATAAATAAATGTTATCACCCTACCTTTTTTATTCCTGTCTCTTCCTCTCAGATGCTCTTTACCAGGTTTCAGAGAAGTTGGAGGGGCCGTTCAACATGGAGCTCGCAGCCGACTCCATCTCTGTGAAGGTTTCAGAGGCCATCATGCACATGCAGGAAAACAGCGTCACCATCTCCACTAAAGTAAGAAAGAAATGATGTGCATTTAAAAAAGAACAACTTCCTCCACCATCTTAAAAAAGTCACTCTCTAATGTCAAAGCTATGATTTTAATTATTCTATCTTTATTATTTTAACTCTAATCTTCCTGATGAGACAGCATGCAAGAAATGTAATTAGAATTATACACGGAGAGCAAAACGGCTTCACAGTACGATGAAGACGTGGCCGTCATCCCAGGAGCGAATCCACCAGAGACACTCACATCTGAACAGAACCAGAAAAACTCCTGGTTTGTGGGGGCAGGGCTCTTACTCTTTAATTCAGCTTTGTGTTTTTGCAGTTTTACACTAACAGGGTGTGATTATGGAGACTATGGAGAACCATATGTGCAAACACTGACTCATAAAGCTTCTCTCTGCTTTCAATTACAACATTAGCATTCATTTAAATACACCGTCTGATGTTGAGCCTGGTCCTGTTGTTCGTAGAGAACAAAATCTAACACTTTGACAACATTTCAAAAAGATTTCACAAACTTTCAATGTAGGAGCATCTGTATTTCATGATGTTATCCCCAACACCACAGCTGTTTATACTGGTGGCTGTCTTGTTGTTGTTTACCTCCAGGTGTTCCAGGGCTGTGGAAGCCCCAGACCAGCTCCAGGACGGACTAAACGCTCACCGAAAGAGTCTGGGGGAAGCAGGAGGCCGTTCCGCACCTACAGTCCAGAAGAGAAACCCACCACCGCTGCAGGCACCAACCTGGACCGACTGGTGAGGAAGAAACATGTCCTGTTTTCAGATAGTTGCTGTTGTGTAATAGATTCGATTTTAAAATAGTTTAAACATGTGTGACTTTATTTTTATGGCCACTTGGGGGAAGCAGAACAATAAAATTGATACGGTGAATTTGTTCAATTATAAATTAGTTCTACTGTATGATTCATTTAGTTTATTAAAGCTTATTTGCCTGTTGTTTTTGGAAACATTGCTGAGGGAATACTTATACCAGGTTCAAAGAAAAAACTAGAATTACTTCATAACTGTTGCAATCCTCCGTCTACAAGTGCAGTTTCAGTCTACATATATTTTCTTTCCTAAGAAAACCCATTTATGAGGCAAGAAAGAGTTTTGTGGGGTCAGAGTGACCTTCGACCTCCAAATTCTAATCAGGTCATCTTTGAGTCCAAGTGACAGATATAATAATATCCCTGATGGTTGTTCCTGATAGATCACAATCACGTCACTGAGACCTCGACCTTTAACCACCAAAATCCGATCAGTTCATCCTTGAGTCCAGCTGAATCTTTGAGCCAAATTTGAATTGATTTTGATGAATTACACTGAAGCTACAGTTAAGTCAAAGGTTTGCTTTGTGCCTGCATCAGGATTCAGACATGGCCACTGAGCAGAGAGCAAAGAAAATGAGAGATTAAAATAGTTTCAAACAAATAATATGAGAGTGCAGCCGTCAGAGCCCAGACAGTTTCCTTCTGACGAGAGTGAGCTGGAAAATAAAAGAAACTGAGAGCAGAGGAGAGAAGAAAAGTACAGTCATTTACTTCTATTTATAAAAGATATAAAAGACATGTGATTTGAAAACTGACCCAGATTCAGGGTCATGTCAGTTTTTGACTTTGTCAGTGCTGCAGCTTCCTTATGCTTCCTCCATCCAGCCATAGCAAAGTGAGAGACTTAGAAAAGCCAGTCTGAGTCATAACCAGTTCCTTACCGCCTCCGCACAGGTTACCGAGCTGAAGGAGCGACTGCGGCCGATGCACGGCTTCTGGGTGTCCCTCCCACACACCACCTGCAACGATGAGAGGCTGGCTGCCGACGTCACTAACGAGGACCGCTGCTGGAACGGGCAGACCCGGGGGAGGTGAGGGGGGATCAGAGCGGGGATGGAGGGAGGGTTTGGTGGAGGCGGAGGTGGAGAGAGTGAGTGAGTGAGGGAGGGATTGTACAGGTGGCAGATGGAACTTTGTTTAATTTTGTCACCACCACCTCCACACAGATACAGACCCTCACTGCACATCCAGGCGGATTTAACTGCTCAGAAAAGATCCGTGTTCATGTGTGAGCAGTGTTTTCATACATGAATTCCACTGTGCATGCTCTCCCAGGTACCTGCCGGACGTGATGGGCGACGGTCTCGTCAGCCAGATCAACAACCCCGAGGTGGAGGTGGACATCGCCCGGCCAGATGTGAGGACCAGACAGCTGATCATGGAGCTGAGGGTGGCGACCAACAAACTGAGACATGCTCAGAGCGGACAAGACATGGACTTCATGGACAGTGAGTGTTTCTGATGCTCGATATTTATATATCTGCGTATATATTAAGGAGTATAAGTTTTATATTGGTACATTTTAGAGGTAAATTGATGATAATGAAGATCTGGAAGGAGATACATTATTATTTTTCAGTCTTTCTTTCTTTTCTTGAGTGTATGAAATACTTGGGAGTCCAGCCAGTATAATAATATTTGCATGAAGTACACCTAGTGGTTAATTTGGCACGCCCCCTAACAGAGCCAGGTAAGGGAAAGTGGAAGCGGACTTTATCAGGAGGTGGGCCTTAAAGAGACAGTAGCTAAAACCAAGTGTTTCAGACAGAGGCTGAAAAGAGGAGCTGCAGCAATGGACAGTTAGAGGGCAGTGCTGTGTTTTCTGAACCTGAATGTCGTCTTTAACCCTGCATTTATAAGTAATGTTAACTTTATTGCATCACTATGCTGTACCTGTCTGAAATCTCTCCTCTTGTTCCAGGTGAGGAGGGCAGTGGCTCAGGGGGTGGGGATTACGGTGAAAGGTACAATGATGATTGGCCGGGCTATGGGCCTTACTCCCCCCCCTATAACAAACCCCCTCGCAACCCGGCCTCCAACCCCGCAAAGCCTCCTCGGGTCCGAGACAAAAGTGGCTCCAAGTGGAACAGAAACAACGGCCATGGACGGGTTCGTTCGTCGACCGGCGGGCTCACCTCCTCGCTGCTCTCTTTGTGTTCTTTCCTGGTCACTGTTGCCCCCATGTGGAGATAACCAGTTATTACAGAGTGGAGGTTTTCTGTCATGCTGGAGTCTCGAGCACGTTGAAGAAAAATAAGTCATTCCATTTTTTAACACCAGCGGAAAAAACAAAAATAAGACAGGTTAATTTAGCAATAATCAAATACCTGTTTACTGCACAGAATAAAAAGGTTAAAGTGAGTATTTTTCCTACTGCCCAAGCCACAGAAGAGGCATCATCACATGATTAATGCTAATACTTAATAAGTACTGCCCTTTTTTAGTGCCATTTGTTGGAGATGTTTGACCTGTTGGAGTCTTGTTGCTGAACCGTGCTGGAGCATGGAGGTCCAACTAAAGCACTGAAACAGCAACAGGAATGAGCAGCATGTGTGGGTGACGGAGCCGAAGATCTCATGGTGCAGCGATCTGTGAGATAGAGAGAGATAAGTCGTGCTGGTTGATTACTGTGTAGTTTCGAATGATCCGACTGCATTTGTTATCTGCCTTTCTCATGAACTTAAGTTGATTTGTGTATTTGATTTGATTTCTTTTAGTGGTTCATCTTGTTTACTTTTCATCTTGTGGAAATAGTGACATTTAATTTAAGATTAATGTATTTCTGCCTGGAAGATAAAAAAAAGAAAAAGAAGTCAGGATCAGTATTTAAACCAAACACAGGACTTATTTTGAATGTACCTAGATGCTTAAATTAATTTTAGTTTACTTGTGACGACAAGGGGTAAATTAATTATGATTTTAATTTATTTGTAATATTCTATTTCATTGTTCTCATTGTCACGAGTTTAAGGGTTAAAGCCTGAGTGTTTATCCTCTGAAGAGTCTGTCTCTAACTTTCTCTGGTAAAAAAGGAAAATCAAGCTCTATTTATTTATAATGCAAACCAATCATTTTAAAATCTGAAACCAATCAGAATAAAACTGTTAATTATTGATATTTATTTGAGCCAAAAAACCAGCTGCACTTTACCAGAGATCGTTCAGCAGCGACATGTGAATGTGTGTTTTTTATTGTTTGTTGTTTCATGTTCCTGTTACATGCTGAGAATGTTTTTAATGATGTGTTTTTCTACTTATTTTCCTAAAAGCAACAAAAGATGGTGACGATGGTGAGCGAGCACATGATGTAACTCTGGATTGAAAGTTGAGGGAAACAAGTTGGGTTTTCATATGCTCCTGTGTTTTGATAAAGATATAATGAAAGATTAATAGGGAGGTTGTGAGAAGTTGGTCATTAATGTACAACGAGAGCACATTGATGAGCTTAAAGTAATAATCTGACTATTAATCGTAAGGTTAGACGAGATGGCACTCATGTCCGTATGATAAGTATGAAGCTAATGCCAGCAGCTGCTTAGCCTAGCTTAACATAAAGGCCAGCGATAAAGAAACAGCTAACTGGACGAAAAGTTAAGAAAATCTACCTACCAGCTCCTTAAAGTTAAAACTAATTGTTATCACATGTGTCGTTTAACGTGTTTAAATACTGAAGAGTACGAACCAGGAATATAGTTTTTTTAAATGGCAGGTGTGACGGACTATTTCCCAGCAGCTGACAGCCAATCAGCTCGCTCAGCAACCTGAGAAAGGTTTAGGTTTTTCTGCATGTGACACAAAAGAGGTTCAATGTGCGGATACATGAACTTTAGTCAGATACTTCTCTCAGTACCCTCACATGTAGTACACTGTAGTACACAGTATACTCACCCAACAGGGTAGTGTTCAAATCAAAACATGGCAGTTTGTGCTCTCAATCTCATGGTGTGAGTGCCAAAGTATCCTCCAGCTGCTCTGCTCATTTTACATAAAGAAATCAACAACTGAATTTTTTGTGTGCCCCCTGTGTAACACAACATGACAATTATTCATTATAACTTGCACCGGTCTCAGTTGCCATTTTTACACATTTGAAAAAAGTTGATGATCACTTTCCTTCCACTACGTATCCAAGCTGAGAGTTGTAACTGTTTTGAGTGTACAATCCAGACAACATACAACGCACTGCATGTTGTTGTACTTGTCAATGTGGACACACATATGCACTCAAAATAACAAGTATGTGTGTGTAGGTTTAAAAACCCAGAGATTTTGAACAAAGCAAAGTGTTTTCCACTGTTTCTTGTCGTTATGCTAAGCTAAGATGCTGCAGATTTTGTAAATAGAGAAAAAAAGCACATTTCTCAAGATGTCAGTTTTCTAAAGATGGAGTTGATTGATTGGATCAAAAAAGAAGAGAGAAGGAGAAAATAAGCAGAATGTATTGATGCTGCAAAAGGACACTGAATGAGGAATATGTGAAACCGGTTGAAGGAGAAGTTCACTAGTAGTCAAATGTGATATTGCTCCTGCTACAGAAAAAGAAAAAGATTTCCTTCTAAAATTAATAAATGTCCAGAAATATACAATTTTTATCACTGACGAGAGGTGGACGTCATTTTGGAAAAAAACCCTCTCGATACAACAGGCACCACGTAAAAGACTTGAAAGAAAGTTTGTCACAGTATTTCCAAAGCAGCAGTGTTGTAGTCGTATGTGTGTTCGATGATCAGCAGTCAGATGAAACCACAGAGCTGAAATGTTTCACTGGATTTCAGGTAAATTGTTCTTCAGCTCAAACTCTTCATCGATTCCCTCTACTCACACATTCCTTCATGCTGACAGTTTTTTTCATGTTGTCGTAAAAAACCTTTTGTTATCAAACAAGTGATATTTTCAGCTTCATTAAAAAAACTAAAGAAAGTGTGGATTTCTTTTTTCTTTCCTCATTTATTGTCATTTTATTTCTTACAAAAACACGTCACAAATAAAAGCTCCAACATTTTTGTTTCACCTTAAAATAAATTTGAGGAAAATGTACAGTAATAGAAAAGGTCTGCATCAAAGTTATCTCTTAAAGCCATATGTAATATAACATATTGTTAAGTACCCTTTAAAAACTGACCCTGGTACATGATGCATCGGGGCCTCGTTGGTTTCTTCTTTTAGGCCTTCAGAGGAGCAGTCTCTGGGTTTATATCTTCATTGTGTTCAGTGGGCTTCTTGTTACGTGCAAGACAGTTGATGCATTCATGCTGAAAAGGACAGAAAATAAGGGACAATCATTATGTGTACTTCATAGTACACAGCTGAAAAGAACTCACTATAGTCTTAAACAAGAATATATTTGCAAAAATCTCCACTTGTATTTTCAAAAC